GCAAACAATTTGCAGAGGCAGGACCCCCGACCCGGCTGTACCGAGCGGCAGCTTCACAGGCTGCTTACCTATTGCTACATCAGCCAATGAGATGGGATGAGAGAAATGACGTCAGCAAGAGGAGGAGAGTGACAGCAAGGAGAGAGAGGGTTAGACGACACACAACACACCAAGGTGGGCAGCACATACCATGAGGGAGAAGCAGACAAGACAGGCATCAGGTAGAGAGCACACTAAGGCATGCGGGGTGTCATGTGGCCCAGCTGTGGCATAAACCAGGACCATCTGGGGTGGGAGGAGCAGGAAGGGGTGGAACCAGCCAGGTTCACTTAGGCTAGGCACTGCCACAAAGTCTAGGTTAGCTTTACCACCAAAAAATGGATACAGCCACACCAAGCTAGCCCATCAGCCGGGGGAGGCAAGAAGGTAGGAGAGCTACCATAGGTCTATTCTGCAACTATTTATCTCAAGCTCTTTTAAGAAAGAAAGCCAAGGCAGGAAGAACCAGAGGAGCCTAGCCTCAGGTTAGACAGTGGAGGATCTCTTAGTCAGCAAGGAGACAGAGTGTGAAGCAGAGAAGTGAGGCTGTAGTGAGTCTTTGTAAGGCCTGAGGTCTTAGGAGCTATCCAGGTCCACCCAGATGATCTACAAAGGCAACATGACCCGTAGAGCACAGCAAGCCAGGGAGGGCCCAGAAGAATTGACAACAGCGGAGTCAACAGACTAAAGAGGGCTCTTAAGGGGATCTAGGGAAGGCTCTCAATATGAGAAGGATTTGAGCCCGGCGGTGGTGGCGCACACCTTTAATCCCAGCACTTGGGAAGCAGAGGCAGGAGGATTTCTGAGTTCGAGGCCAGCCTGGTCTACAGAGTGAGTTCCAGGACAGCTCGGGCTACACAGAGAAACCCTGTCTCGAAAAACCAAAAAAAAAAAAGAGAAGGATCTGAAAGCAAGATTTAGATGAATTAGTATCCCCACACACACTAACCACACCCACTGGAGACGGTGCTCCCTCCTGAACGGAAGACTCAATCTGACCAGGCAAAGGCACTCATCTTCAGCCACCAGACCTACGCTGAAGAGATAGGGAGTAGGAAGGGCAAGAACTCTTAACCCTAGGGGGTGAGCCTAGCAGGGAAGCCAAATGCCCAATGGGAACCAGGCGATACTGCGTGCTCAGGCTGAAGCAACAGGGAGGTTGGAACACAGCATGCTCAGCCAAGGGACTTACCCGATGTCATCTCTGTAGACCCGGGAGATAAGCACCTCCCCCTTGTGATTATAGATGAATAAGCCTCCGATCATGGTGGCAGCTCAGTCTCTGTGACCCATTGCTCTGAGAACAGACCTAGGTAGGAAAGGGAGGGGTAGGGAAAAAGGAAATCTTTAGAATCCTTGCCCACCCTTGTGGGGCTGGACAGGCTTGCCTTTTTTTCCCTGACTCAGTCCTCTAGCTAATGACCCTGCGGCCCTCCCAAGGAAGCCCCTCCTGCTCGCTCAGCGAGGCTCCAGTTCCTGTTTATTCCAGAAGAAGAGACAGCACTTTAAGAGTGCGGGGCCCTGGATTTAGGCCATTTTTACCCAGCCTTTTCTGAGGGTTGAGCCGGAGAGTAACCACTACCCTTCTTTACAGTGCTGATCTCAGCAAGGATTCTTTTCAACCCCCTGCTGTGCAGACTCTCACTCTGGGCTACTTCCAGTGAGTCACAGAGAAGGCTTGCCTGCGGGTGCAGGAATGGCGGTAGGGATTACTCTCCTAGGCTAGGTAGGGCCTGGGCCTGCCACCAGGCATAACCTTTAGAGCAAGAACTACCCTTCCAAGAAGGCAGCAGAGCATGACCCTCTAGAAGTCTCCACATTCCAGGAAAGGGTGTGCAGGGTGAGGTGGGGGTGGGAGAGAAGAGGCCCTCAGGCTCTAACACAGGCCCAGGAATGTGGCTGAAGCAGGCACATCTTTCCCAGGCACTGAGATGAGCAGGCAAAGGAACAGAGGTCCCAGTACTGACAACACCGCTCCAATGATCCAAGCTGGTTACTAACTTATATGTTCTTCTTACAAAGATTTCCTTTTTACCTTCACATATGTACATGCCAGTGTGTGTGCTCTGTGTGTGTGTTTGTGTGTGTGTAAACTAGGCGTCAGACTAAATACTGCCCTCCATCCCCCAGGCCTGAGTTACAAATGATATGTGCTGGGACCTGAACTCAGGTCTTCTGGGAGAGCAGTAAGGACTCTTAAATGCTGAGCCCCTTTTACAGTTATTTCTGGTTATTGTCTTTTCAAAATTTCAAAGTGTGACAAAAATTAGGTCCTTATGTAGTAGCATTAATTAATCCTGCATCTAAATTGTGACACCAGATCTGCCAAGTCAGTCACTTCTGGCCTGGTGTTTACTAAGCAATGGGCAGGGATAACAGAATGCTTCTACTGCCCAAATTATTTGGGTCAAAATTAAGTTAGAATATTTAAGAAAGGGGTTAATCTGGTTCTAGATTTTCTGGATTAGCCCAGGTATTAATTTCACAGAGGTTAGTTTAACAGACTTTCTGAAACTGAAAAGTTAACCCTTGAAGCCCAGTGACAGGTCAATTAAGATAGTGGACACACTTATCTCACAGTTCAAATATGGTGAGAAAGAAAATGCAAAATGGAGGTTGAGCCCTGAGCAAAGGACCAAGTCCACAGGTATCAACCAAGGGTGGGGGGTGGTGTGTGTGTGTGTCCTGGACAGAAATGGAATATTTAGTTAAGGGAACGGTTAGCTGTAATTGCTAGCTAGCTGTGGGAGTCCCTAAAGTTCTCCTATGGCAAAGGTCATAGAAGCTTTGGAGGAGAAAAACAAAAAAAAAACCAAAAAACAAAACCGGTGAGAAGAGATAGACAGTAGAAAAAGAGAAAGCTGAGAGACAGGGCCTACTCTTCTGTTAGTGAAGCATGAGGGGCTGGTGGAGCTTTTCCCAACATAGGGAGGAGACATCTAGGCCGGGGAGATGTCACCAAGGGATGCGGGGGCTGCCACAGGTCTGAGGTAGAAGAGCCGTGGTGGTAAACCAGGAGGAAGGAATTTCTCGGTGAGAGACCTGTCACTGTCCAAGGGAGTGGTACCAGGGGATGTCAATGTCCTGAGGGACGGGGGAAATGGGAAACCTCAGGGTTGAGCGGTTGTCAGGATTCTAGGGATAAGGCGCCGCGCAGCAGCCCCGCTCTAGGATTCCAGCCCGTGTCTCTCCCCGAGACGCCCGGTGGGTCACTGGAGGGTGTCGCTCCCCGCCCTTGCTGCAATCGCGCCCAAGGCACCCCCGCCCGGTCGTCTGGTCCCTGCCGGGTCTGAAGGCTGAAGCCACTCCCGGGTGCGGGCAGTTTTCCACCCAGCGCAGTGCAGTGCAGGCGACCACGGCACCCTCTCCGCCCGTTAAGGACCTCTAAGTTAAGCTACCCAGCTCACCTGGAGTCAGCAGCCCCCACAAGGCCGGCCTGGCCACTTTCGGATCCCAAGATGTCCGCCCGCCCCCAGCTCGCCTGTCTGCTGCCTCGGCTTTCACTGCAGTGCTCCCGCCCCGCTCCACCCCAATCGCAGCTGCGCCTGCGCGCTCGCCTCCAGCGGCGACTACAAGTCCCGTCAGTCCCCGCAGCTTTCCAGCGACACATCTTGAGCACCCTAGATTTAGCAAAACTACAACTACCGACAGCCTTCAAGACAGAGTCGACGTCGGCCCTTGTGTGTCTTGCAGGCAAACACGCGTTGTAGTACACTCCAACCATTATTTGCTTCACTGAGAATCACGGGAAATGTAGTCTCTGCGATTCTTCCTGTTCCTAGTTAAATGAGGTAGGCTTTATGAGACCAAAGAGTTGTTTGTCGAAACCAATTGTAAATTTTGAATTACTATAGTCTTTTATTGTCTCTAGATTTCGAAGAGTGGCTATACTCACTTTACAAACACGACTTGGCATAAGCTTGTTACTGCTGAATTTACTGCTTTTTAACACCACGTTTGATTCTCCCAAGGTCTTACATTCCAACATAGGACTGAGCCCTTTCTCAGGGATAATTATCCAAACAAAAAGGCTGGGAAGGAAGACACTAATTCTTCGCAAAACACTAGTGTTTTCCTCAGCTAAATCTGCGACTGGGGGCTAGAGAGATGGCTCAGTGGTTAAGAGCACTGACTGCTCTTCCAGAGGTCCTGAGTTCAATTCCCAGCAACAACATGGTGGCTCACAACCATCTGTAATGGGATCTGATGCCCTCTTCTAGTATGTCTGAAGAGCTCTACAGTGTACTCATATAAATAAAATAAAACCTTAAAAAAAAAAAAATCTGTGACTGTTGTGTGATGACATACGCTGTTATTTCCAGAGCTCTGGAGGCAGAGGCAAGAGCATCTCTGTGAGTTCGAGGCCTAAATAGGGACTTTCAAGACAGCCTAGGCTACATAAGAGACCCTGTTTTGCCCTCCACTCTAGTTTAGTTGAGCATGGGATTTTAAAATCCCATTTTTCAGCTGGACAGTGGCGGCACATGCTTTTAATCTCAGCACTTGGAAGGCAGAGGCAGGCAGATCTCTGAGTTCAAGGCCAGCCTGGTCTACAGATGGAGTTCCAGGACAGCCAGGGCTACAAAGAGAAACCCTGTCTCAAAAGAACAAAAAAGAAAAGATTTCTTATGCTATCCAAACTGAGAGAATGGGGCAGAGCCAACCTGAACACAAACAGCTGTCTGATTCTTGCCAAATCAGGAAAGCTTGGTTCTTCTCTCCGTAGACAGAAATATCCTGTGGCCTAAACAAGCCAGAGACTTCTATGGCAGAAAGGAAGGGGTTGGGTTCTCAAATCTGGTTGCTAACCCTACTATTCCTAGCAACCTCCTCCTTCCAGAAGCCAAAACCCAGAAACTTCTAACCCTTGAACCACCATTCAAGGCTTCATGTCTATCTTTGAAAAAGCTTTCTCTTCCCAACAGACCCTAAAAGTTTGCCGGCTTAAAGTAAATTAATAATAATAGTAACAATAGCTACCATTTATTGAGCACCTACTCTATTGTGTGCCAGGCACTGTGCTAGGCACTTTTCGTACAATATCTAATTTAAATCCTCACAACAACCCTGTGAGGTAGGTATTATTATCATCATTTTACATGTGGGAGGACTCAGGCTCCAGAGAGGTTAAATAACTCTATTACACAACCAAAAATGATAGAGCTGGAATTCAAGCCCAAACCAACCTGACTCCAAATCCCATGCTCTGTAAATTAAGAAAGGGAGAGGAACAGCTGAGCTTCAGAAAGTGTCAGAGCAGAAGGGTGTGAGATGCTGACTAATACCATGTAGGTGTAGCTTGTAACCAAGGTCACCAGGACAGGAAGTCAAGAGGAAGAATACTTGGCTGGGGACATATGGACATGCCTGGGGAGATGTCCAGTGGGTGATAAAAACAGATCTAAAGAGAGGGGGAAGCTGAGGTTGGAGATCCAGATTTAGAAGTGGCCAGCATATCAACAGCAATTAAGAAGAAAGTGGCTGACACTATGGGGGATGGGGAAAAAAAGAGATGTGAGCCGAGGCAGGTTGGCATCCAGCGCATGAGTGAGCATTGGCAAGGGATTCTCAAGAGAACAGGAAGAAGTAGAGTCAGAGAGAACCAATGACAGCTAAGATGGAGTCATGCCTCTAACATAGCCCTTTGTTCATTAAAATCCCAGGAAATATGTTAAATGAATGAATGTCAAAATATCCCTCCTCAGGTTGCCCCCAAACCTGGGCTAAGGACATCTTGATGGGGGAGACATTTCCTGGGGCATGCTAGGCCAACACTACAGAGCTATGTCCCCAGCTGACACCCTTGCCCTGAAAATGTAAGAGTCTGGATAAGTCAGAATGTTTACAACAAAGTTTTAAAGAGACAATTATGATTTTAAGGTAGAAAACAATTAAAGATAACTGGCACTGTTTGGAGTCCCAGTTGTCTGGTGTACAGCTTCACTGGCCTGTGCACCCAGGTCATGGTGAAGATGAGCAGAGAAGAGGATAGGGATATGTGGGAGAAAGAGGGAGGTACAGAGTGACCTGTCAGTTACCTGGACAGCCTCTGTGGAGCCCCAGCTTTGGGGCTTTATCCAAGTATAAAGATATTGGGAATATTATGGGAAGCTAAAGGGCTAGCAGGAAGGGGAGAGGAGAGGGCAGTCAGGGACCAGCCCCACTATCTAGGAGATGACTTGGAAAAAGGGTCCAGCCCTCTAGTCAGGGACCAGCCCTGAGGCTTATGTAAACTTGCATAGGGTGTGTGTGTGTGTGTGTGTGTGTGTGTGTGTGTGTGAGAGTGTGTGTGTGTGTGTGAGAGAGAGAGAGAGAGAGAGAGAGAGAGAGAGAGAGAGAGAGATTGAGACTCACATGTGTATGAAGCGGAGGGAAGCAAACTTCTCTACTTCTCTCTGAAAAGAACAGTGTCTGTTAGGCATGGGGGAAGCAGAGGTCCTTCCCAGAAGCCTAGTGACCTTACAGTGCGGGTGTGGGGTTGGACATCCTTGGGAAGCCCTGAGGGGCTGCTGAAGCAGAGTTCCTGGTCTCCTTGGAGTCCCTTTTCTGGGGACTCACAGAAAGTCAAAAAGCCCGAAATTCTTGGCTGCTCCAGGCCCAGGGAAATTTGAAGAAAGAAAAAAGAAGAAAACTGTTTCAGGCTCAGAAGTTAGATGAGCCTATTGGTTAGTAGGGTTAGATCCCAGGGATCCAGCACACAGGACAAGCATGGATGGGGGCCAGGCCCAACAGGAATAGTCCCTGAGAGCCACTAGTGGCCCTGGCACCTGAGGGGGGGGGCTCTCTGAGCTTCTGATTGGGGCTGGGTCCAAGCGGGGACAGCACAGATGCCCTACTACAGGGGCTACAGCTGTAGGGTGAAGGTCTGAAGCAGCGGGCAGGACAGTTAGGAAGGGAAAGACCTTTTTTTTGGTGTCAGTATGGTGGAACAGTATCAAGATCTCTGTACACATGCTTAAGGAGGTGGGCAAAAGGGTACCGAGGGGGGGAAAGGTGGGTATAAGGTGTGGTACCCCTGGGGTCAGCTCTTAAATGTGCGAGTGGAGCATCAGGAATTAAGACCAGCAGTGCAGAGCCAGGGACATGAAAAACTCCTGGGAAGCTCAGAACTGGATGGAATGGGGGCTGGTTGGTGGCCAGAGGCACCAGCTGGGCTAGAGGCAGGCTAGGGGCCATGGCATGGATGAGTAATGAAGAGACCCCTCATCCCTGCTGCTACCAGCAAGCAGTAGCAGTTAGTTCCATTTATTTCCCTTTCAGGTACCAAAGTTTAAAAAAAAAAAAAAGCCGACTGATGGAGATGGGGGTGTAGCCGGCTGAGGGGTGAGAGCTAGAGAGGGGCCCAGATCACATCACATCCACAAAGAACTCACTGGGGTTTCCCATTGCCATGCGGAAGGACTGTCTGCTGGCCGTCAGTTCCGGGGGCACCGAGGCCAGGTCGCGCCCTGGAGGGGCTCCTGGGGGCCCCATGGCAGCAGGTGGTGGGGTCATCATCAGCATCGGGGGACCATAGAGAGGGGGCACTCCAGGTGGGCCATAGCTCGGGTGTGTGTGGTGGCTGCGCAGGCTGCTGGTCAGAGAATGGTGACTGCGGTGGCTGTGCTCGCTGGCTGCTGGGCCTGAGCGCTCGCTCGGTGCCCGCTCCCGTGGGGCTCGCAGACTGCTTCGTGTAGTGTGATCTGACTCGCTGCCGCTACCACCTGACTTGGAGTCCCCAGCTTTTGGGTCCTTCTCCTTGCGCCGGTCGCTGCCACTTCGGTTGGAGCCACTGCTCCGACTGCCTGGAGGGAACAAACAGGCCCAGGATGGATGTGCAGAGGTGGCCTGGGCTCCCTGCCGATCCTTCTGGCTGGGTCTCTCTGACCTACCTTCACTGTGCTGACTGCTGGCGCTGCCCCCACCATAGCTGTAGCCCAGCTCTGGGAAACCTGGGTGTGGGTTGTAGGGATGCGGAGGTGGTGGGTACTGGTAAGGGAAAGCCATAGGCCAGGGGGCAGCCCCTGGGTGCGGCAAAGGAGCCAGTGTGTCCTGGTCAGAGGCGCCACTGGAACCATCATGGTCGTGAAGCGATAGGTTGGCCATGTCTGTGGGAAGAGGACTCAGGTAAACTGGTCTATTGTGGTTCCACACCTACAATCAGGTCTCTAGCCAAAGACGGACTACAGACAACAGCATTAAAGTTTACAGCCAGAAATGGAGGGAGGACTGCAGATCTCCTCGGCCACTCTCAATAGCGCTACAGCCAATCCCCAATACCTTCAAAGTTTCTCCTTAGGTACTGCGAAGACTGAGGCGAGAGACCTGATACAGGTTTGAGTCCAACCTAGACTACATGGTAAGTATGAAGCCAGCCTAGGCTCCATAATCACACAGTCTCAAACCCAAAACAACAAAAACCAAACAAACAAACAAACAAAAAACAAGAAAAGAAAAATAGACTCCCAAATCAAACAAAAACAAAGGAAAATAAAACAAAATCAACCCCACACACCCCTCACCTCATATTTTGCCATTTTTTCTCTGGTTAGGAGGGAATTGGGTTGGGGAATGTGGAAAGCTCAAGTGCTAGAAGCCTCCAGGTACTGTACATGACTCATCAAGCACACTAGGCAGCAACCCCCAATGAGGTAATAACCACTTCTCTACACAAGGAAATGAAAGTCCAGAGAGGATAAATGAGCAGCCTGAGTTAACCTGAGCTGAAGGCAGAGCAAAGGCTAAGAGGTGTTTTTTTTTT